ACTCATCAGACCAGGCAACATTTTTCCAGTCTTCAACTGTCCAATTTTGGTGAGCTGGTGCAAATTGTAGCCTCTTTTTCCTATTTGTAGTGGAGATGAGTGGTACCCGGTGGGGTCTTCTGCTGTTGTAGCCCATCCGCCTCAAGGTTGTGCGTGTTGTGGCTTCACAAATGCTTTGCTGCATACCTCGGTTGTAACGAGTGGTTATTTCAGTCAAAGTTGCTCTTCTATCAGCTTGAATCAGTCGGCCCATTCTCCTCTGACCTCTAGCATCAACAAGGCATTTTCGCCCACAGGACTGCCGCATACTGGATGTTTTTCCCTTTGCACACCATTCTTTGTAAACCCTAGAAATGGTTGTGCGTGAAAATCCCAGTAACTGAGCAGATTGTGAAATACTCAGACCGGCCCGTCTGGCACCAACAACCATGCCACCCTCAAAATTGCTTAAATCACCTTTCTTTCCCATTCTGACATTCAGTTTGGAGTTCAGGAGATTGTCTTGACCAGGACCACACCCCTAAATGCATTGAAGCAACTGCCATGTGATTGGTTGATTAGATAATTCCATTAATGAGAAATTGAACAGGTGTTCCTAATAATCCTTTAGGTGAGTGTATACTGTATGTGTATGTGTAAATAACAGGTCACCTTTTCCTCAGCACTTCTGTGCCGGTCACTAACTCAAAAATCATGCCAAATTCTGAAAATCTCATGGATTTTCAGAAAGCCAGAGGCTGCTTACTTCAGAATTCATTTAGTTGGATTATGTATATAAAAGTTCTGAAAACATACTATTCCGGGAGGTCCTGGGGTTCCATGTTCACCCTTTTCACCCTAAGAAATGTATTTAAAAAAACAGTCATTACAGTTACCCATAATACACAGATACAAAGAGAAACTTCTGGATTTCTGGAGTAAATTTCTGTAACACTCTATAAATACCATGAATACAGATCTACGAACACATTCATAACACATTATGAGGCATTCATAAACCATTATAAACACTGCTATAAATATTTATAAAAGGCATAACACATCATACCCATGTTTATTACGCATTATGAATGCTTTATGAAGCTCTCATCTAAAATGCACTGTATACACCTCATAATGCAGTTCAAAGCATTAATCCCTTTACCAACCATTATAATACATTGTGAAGGAATCTATAGAGCATTATACATGAGAGCTTCAATGGAGCTTATGAAGAATTATAATCAACACTATAATGCCTTATGACTGTCAATAGAAGATGCTGCAATGCTTTAGTAATATTTATACTGACCATTATTGTGCATTATGAAGGTATGTATGTAGATGACATCTTCAAGTAAAGCGTTACCAAAAGTTCCTATGCAAAAACCAAGGAAAACAAATCCAAAACTTGCCCTTGGACCATGTTGCCCTGAAGGACCTGGATCACCTGGTTCTCCTTTCAGACCCTGTAATGGCCAGAAAGGATTGGAAGGGTGAGATTGATTGAGATATCAAAAAATTATAAGAAGCAAGAAGTTTGTTTAACATCAATATGAAAAGATGACGCTGTTATTACGACCAGAAGAAAATTGTAGGCAGGTAATTTAACAGCCTCTCTAAACTGAAAGGCGACATGACCAATTGAACTGAATGGATCCTAAGATATGTAATCATAAAATCCATGGGACAGACTGACTCCTGAACTGAATGTTCTCACCGGGAAGCCAGTCGGTCCTGGTTCCCCATCTTTGCCTGGTTTGCCCTGTGAGGATGGAAAGAGAACAAATCACACCTATGAGAAAGAGGCTTTCAGTCAGCCACTCAACTTCACGTCAGCACTGTCCACAGGCTAATGCCTCACTTCCTCCGATGACAAATCCGCCGACTGCTAACAAACTATCTCATCAATGTAAAACCGGTGCTTGGTCTAACCACGTTACATTCAATGGCTCTGAGTGCAACTTGCATAGGGGTGTAACAATGCACCGTGGCACTATTTTTCACGATTAAAAAATACAACAGTACACACCGTAGGGGTGGTAACAATGTAGACAGGTATATAGACAGGTGATTCAAAGCATAATTCCAGTTTTGCTTTGAAATTTTATTTTTGCATTTTGCACTGGAGTCTGCAGAATAAGGAAAAAACTGCAAGAAAAAATAAGTGATTTGGAAAATGTTTTTTTGTAAATGAAGGAATAAGAAGGAATAAATAAAAACTGTGAGATCTTGGTTGGTTTTCAGTCGTACATATTATTTGCATATTATTAAGGACACATCTGGCAAGTCTGCCAGAGTGTGGTGCTGCTAAGCTTAAACTGTATAGGTGGGTTCCCAGTCATAGTCTGTTATGCCAGTACAAGTCTGTGTACATAATAAACTGTATGGAAGTTGTCCCTTTTTATGTTTCCATCCCTTTGCAGAATATTTAGCAAATACAGGAACACAATATGCATGCAAATATTTTTTTCCTTTACTGTGAAATTCAAATAATCCATCCATCCATCCATCCATCCATCCATCAATCCTCCTTACAGAAGCCTGGCAAAAGATCTCCATGGTGGAATGTGCCTTCTAAGTGAACACAAAGTTCCTGACTGCAGAGTTCTCCCAAGGACATGCGACCCAGGTCCTTTGTAGCATAAACCCTTCTCTGTGGATTCCATGTAGTGCTGTGGTGTGCTCTGTATTTGAAGGGCTCTAGGTCCAATACTTGTCTTTGCCATGAAGAATCAAGAAGAACTGCAGGTACCTTTGAAGCCCACCAGCTTATGTGATGACCTGATCTTACTCACCCTCTTGCCGGAATCTCCGGGTTCTCCCTTCTCACCCTTCTGTCCTCTTGCTGGACCCTGAAGACACGCAACAAAGATATCAGTGACACAATGGATCTTGCATCTCAAAGTTGATTTACAGGATGTTTTCTTAACGACAACACAGAACCCACAGTCAGTAACAGAACCCGTCATTTTCAACTTTTCATTCATATTTAAGAACTGGGGCACAATGTTAGTTTTGTGTGGTAAAACCTTTAGTGAAATGCACCCATACAAATTATGGTACATGAAAGTAAACTGGAAAATGTTCAGGTAAGAGAGGTTCTACGTACTGGTAGTCCTGGGAATCCAGGATCTCCAGGTGGCCCTGGTGGTCCATGGTCTCCCTAAAGCAAGTTCAGAATGAAACGAAACTCAACGAAAAAGGCAAAGGAACACGGGCACTCATGGGGCTATTTCGATCTAGGCTTCTTCATCCTACGAAAGAGTCATTACAATCTAAACATCAATCAATGTTACCTACACAATGAGCTTGGGTACTTGGCTCGGAAATCTGCTTTACCTTCTCTCCTTTCTGCACCTCTGAGTCTGCTGGTTTCGTCACCTCACCGATCTGACCCGGAGGACCTGGTGGTCCGCGTAGACCCGTGTCCCCCTTACGTATACACAGGCACATCGGTGGTAAGTATCCATATCGGTGACATGACAGGACTTTGACAACTGACTGCACAGAATTCTTACCTTCTCCCCCTTAGGCCCTTGGAAGTTCAAGCCCATATTACCCTGAGCATGACAAAGAGGTAACCAGGATGGATGAATGAGTCAAACACAAGGTGGGTAAACAAAAATAAATCAGAGAGATAACATTAAATTGCTGTTTGGCAATTCAGCTTGAAAAGCTAAGAAATGTAGCAGAACCTTACCTTGGGTCCTGGGGGTCCAGGAGGTCCAGGGAACCCCTGAGAGAATCATGATGTTTAAGACACTGACCTGAACAGTAATATCCCTCAGTACTCCTCATTTTATATATCCAGAGAAGTGATAACTCGAGAATGTAAATAACGTCATAGAGTATACTAGTATTTGTTCTTTCTTTACCTCAAATATTTATTCAAGATGATTTAACAACATCCTTGTTATGAAAAAATATATACATATATCAATCCAGTGCCACCATATAACATACTGGCTATTCATCTGAAGCTCAACCTGGCTGCAGTGGTGCCTGGTTTGCTCCTTGAAAGCATGTATGTTTGCAATGTGCTATTTGCCTCACTTGTCTATTGCTTTGAACAAAAGTGTCTGCTAAACATGTTGAGTGTAAATGTAATTGTAGTACAACTGAGCACTTCTGATAGACCTTTGAACTATATAATACAGGAAGACAAAAGGGAACCACAAAAGAACCATTTTGTTTAGCAGACGTACATCTGAGCCTCTGGGGCCAGGTGCTCCAAGTGGACCAGGTAATCCTGGATGTCCTGGGTTTCCCTAAAAAACAAAATAATACTTAGACTGTCAGCTTTAGCCTGTGTTACATTACCATTACTGTAATGACATTACATTACCATTACTGTAATGACTTTACATTACCTACTTCAGAAATGTTGTCTGTTGCACTAGTGTAATAGAGAGAGATGATTATACATTCAACAAATAGTTGCTTAAAGACTTACAGTTAGACCCGGGGCGCCAGGTAGTCCTCGATCTCCCTTCGGTCCTAAATGATTGACTGTGATGATGTCACCAGTGTCTCCCTGTGGGAACAGTCAGGGTCGTAATCAAACATGTAGAGCTGGCAGAGAACTAGTTCAGAATAAAGTATAAAATCATTGTTTACTAGAATACCAGTCTAGTATTCAACATATCTTAATTGCAATGTGACCCCAAACTGCAATTCACAGAACCATTTCTGCAATAAATGAACTGCAGATCAACTCAAAAGAAGTTCATGAAGAAGTTCTTACTGATGTTGCACATATTATATGAAAAGTGCTGAAATGAGTAATTATTTTGGTTTCTAAGTACTTTGTTCATATATTACATATTGAATGTTTTTGTTTAAGGACAGATTTTTTACCTAGTCCAGCACATTTATTTGTGGAGTTTCTTTGTTAATGCCATAAATATTTTCAAATTTATGAGAAATTTAAGTTCCAGGTGAGCTAAGACGATATCGCAAAATCACCGAGCACAAATCAGGAGCGCTTAGATGGTAACTGCGGACCAGACACTAGGTGGCGACATTCGAAGATTTCCCCAGGCTCGGCTCGCGGTGCGTGTAAGCGCCGAGAATTCGCCTCGATTTTGCTCGTAACTTGGTAAATATTACTAAATAATTAGATTCGTATACCTGAAACCTCATAAGTGAAAGACTTGTATATTGAGGTATAGCTATCCGTGAAATACAAGTAGATGTTTTATTTACGTTGACAATTTGGCATAAGCAATTATTTTAGTCATTTTACTCTGATATTAAATTATCCGTTTCGTTGTTACGAGGTATTGGTCAGCGAGAACTACAATGGTTAAGACAAGTATTTTAGGAAGCCAGTGCCCTAAGTAATGTAGGTTTTTGTTTGTTTTTATTTGCATTTAGTTAGGCAGCTACAGCTTAAGTGTCGATTAGCATAGAGTGCTAATGGAGGCAGCTGTGTGCCTGGGCGCGGCTGACCTGTCCAGTAGTTATTTATACCTAAATTTGTGATCTATTCTAACACATTCCTGTCCCCAAAAATTAAAAAAATGTGGCTTTCCACATAGTGTTTAATATTGAAGTAATGCTTTTTACATAAACTAATTTAGCCTTGCTTGATATGTATTTATGCAATTATGATTTGAATCTGATTCCTGTTGGTAGTTTGGTAAGCTGTTCACATATTACTTATATATTATAGATGAATTCATTTCCATATTACAATACACTATAACTTCTGAATACAACGTAACAATAACAAAATGTTACAGCTTCTTGTTACAGGATGTACTGTTGCCTAAGCAAAAACGTATTTAGTCCTTATTTAAGATGTTGCAGAAGAAGCTGTCTTAGTTGTAATATTAACATTGAAATTATATGCTATTTTTGCACTAATAATGCTATTGTGTGTTACTATCTAGTTGAAAACTGGCAGATATTTTGAACTTCAGTATAATTTCATGCAGGATGTTACTACAGATTACAAAGAAACACTTGCCTTGTCCCCTGGAGGACCGTGATAACCCTGAGAAAGATGAGGAAAATGATTAATACACAGTTTAGATATTCTGTACATGACAAATGTATGGATCTGTGATTTACTTGTATATGTCATAAATAATTAGGCTTACATGATGTCTAATCACAAAATTGTTTGAGAGCTGTAAATATTGCATGTAAATGTTATGCAAGTTTATGTGTGTCTCAGATCCTAGATCCAGACACGGCGTTCAGTGAGAAGCCTTCAGCAACACCTACCTTGGGTCCTGGGTCCCCAGGAAATCCAGGGGGTCCTGAAAATCCACGTTCACCCTGTAGAGGAAAACATAGTTCAGCCCCCCACTGAATAATAAAAGGTATGTATGTATTCTGCTATATAATGAAAATGAGTTCACAGTACATATGCTGTGCATTTACTACTGGCCAAGCAATTAAATTTTGAGCTGAAAAACACCAACCTTTGTCCCGTTACACCCTGGGACCCCTCTTGGACCTGGGGCCCCATCTTGTCCTGGAAGACCCTGTAGAGAAAAGAAATCACTACAGTACTGCCACTAGGGGGCGTGACCCAGGTAACACACTGACAGGTGACTGAGGAGAGCTTATGCCAGGTACTCTGTGTGTTTATGTTCACACCTTAGGATAGTGAGACATGAACCATAGTGAGATACTGGATTTAAAGTGTGATTGAGTAACTGCAGAGCTCAGGTGATGCGTGAGATGAGGGACAGAATGACGAAAATCTGAGAGTTAGTAGAAGGAAGCAGGAAGAAGAGGGACATCAGACTCACTGGGATTCCAGGGGTTCCAGGAAATCCGGGCAGCCCCAGCGGGCCCTACAAACAACAGGAGACAGTCAAGATATGCATCACTGTCTCATTGCGTCTGGTACCTGGTGGAGTGATAGTCAATGCAGTATGAGTTACACTTATTTAGGAATGACGAATGAACACAGTTTGTCTGAGAGACTGACCAGAGACAATTCAGTTAAAACAAGACTCCCAAGGGCAACTGGAAGGTTCTTTCAGTCATGGTCATTTGATAATCTAGGTAATTATAGTACAGAGATCCCAGCTCCAGAACCAGCACATGCACAATTACGATATTAAGAACCAACCCCAACAGAGTTTGTTCTTTTTTTTTTTTTTTTTTTAACTTATTTTTAGTAAAATAGGTTTGTACTTTTTAGAATATAATTTCTCGAAACCCTTAATTCTGAAACTTTTCAACTAGATCAAAAGCTTGTCTGTTTCAGTACTGGTTGGCAGCAGGAAATGATAAAATCATAAGTGGACTGTCATTGAGAAAAGGGGTTTGTCGGGGGATGTGTGGGGGTGTATCTGGGGATAGCTGGGTGGGTAGAGTCAGTTCGAACATGTCGAGTTTGAGCGAAGGCTTGATAATGACCCCTCAGGCACCCACGAGGCGCGTGGCTGTTTGGGCAAGTTGCTGAGATGCCAGATGGGACTCACTCTAATTCCTTTGGGGCCGGATAATCCTGTGGACCCATCGTCACCCTACAAGAAAACAGTATGATGTCAATTTCAGAGGAAAACTTATATTATGGGGACTGATGTAAGCAAACCATTAGCAGACAGAACTGGTAATCACAGAAACTGACTATATAGACAGGTGATAGCTCGGCGGATACATCTGGCCACGTATCTCTTACCTTTTCCCCCCTTGGTCCAAATGGACCCTCAGGTCCCGGTAAGCCTGGTAGCCCTTGCAGGCCTGGAAGTCCTGGAAAGCCTCTGTCCCCCTGCAGAGGAGAGTGGACACTGAGTTGGGCAGTATCTCTGACCCCGAGGTACTTAAACTCCTCCACTTGAGGCAGTAACTCATCCCCCACCAGAAGAGGGCACCCTTTTCCACAAATCGCCACCTTATCGTGGTGGAGGGGTTTGTGTGCCCCCATGATCCTAGGAGCCATGTTGTCAGGGGCAATTGCCCTTAGTAGGGTCTCCCAACGCACATTGGTCCTAGGTGAGCGGCTGACTAAGTGCGGTTCAAACAGACTCCCATGAGGGTTAATATAAAGGACCACGTTACCCCTCCCAGATTGGAGAGACTGGGGCCCTGCCCTGGAACCAGGCCTGGGGGTGGGCTCACTGGTAAGAACCTACTGGCCAGACCTCCACCCATGGGTCCCAGCAGGGCATAGCCCGAAGGAATGACATGGGTCCACCTTCCTGTGGGCCCACCACCAGCAGGGGGAGCCGTAGGGGTCAGGTGCAGTGTAGACCGGAGGGCAGCTGAAGGCAGGGCCCTCGGTGGGCCAATCGACAGCTACCAAAACTGGCTTTAGGTGCCAAAGCCTAGTATAATGGTTTTATTAATTGACATGTGGCATTTGAAAACATGTATTTCACAACTTCCCTGGGGTCCTTAAGCTGTTTTTCATTCTGATCTGTGTTATAATTTAATATAGTATTTTTGTGTGTGTGGTTTGAGCTGTCAGGTAGATCTTGGCTGCCTTTTCATTCCAGCAAATGGAGGTGCTGCTTCATGTGTGGAACAGCATAGTTGTTATACCTGCTATGCAGATTGAGCCAGCGGGGGCCTTTCTGCAATGTCCCACCCGAGCGGCCCTGTGGGTGTTGATGGGTATTTTCGGGGAGAATCTCCTTACCTTGGTTCCCTTCACCCCGCTGCAGTCACATTTGGTATTCGCTACACAGCCATGGCAAGCCTATGAGAGGAGCAGAGAAGGGCACCAATCACATCACTATGTGCACCAGAATCAAGCAATTTGACATGATTGCATAAAACATAAAATCATATAGCTGAATGCATCTCTACACTTTATTTTATAACCCGGCTGATATTAATTCAGGCTTTAGTTATGAATCAACTTGAGATATTGCTTGAATTATTCCATTAAATATGTCCTTGAACTGGTACGTAATGGTGGGATTTGAGCTGCTGATTGCAGCCTGACCTATGTCAGTATATGTATGTTGCATCAAAGAACCAGTAGATGGCAGCATTTAGACATTCATGAGAACCTGTCTCTTGAATAGCAGACCAGAAGTTAAAACATTTGGATGTTTCCATGTTAAAATAAAGGAGTATTTTTAGGGCTGTTTAAGTAGTACATGATCATTTTAGCCAAATGTGCATTACAAGCATCAGGTTGGACCAGTATCTCCAGTATCATTACTCTGAATATAGCCAAAATTGGGAGTTGTTTCCCAGAAAATAAATTTATCAGAAAACATAATTTTCCATCCATTTTGTGAAACTGCTTGTCCAGTTCAGTTTGGCTGGGGGTCCGGAGCCAATCCCAAAGCCTATGGGTGCAAGGCAGGGAACAACCCAGGATGGGGTGCCAACCCATCATAGGGTACACTCACACACCTATGGGCAATTTGGCAGCACCAGTTAACCTCAGCTAAACCTCATGATGTCACGGGCAGAACATGCAAACTCCACACACACAGAGCCGTGGCGAAGGCTCGGACCCTGATCCCAGGCTTGTGAGGCAACAGTGCTAACCACTGCATCACCTCTATTATTTTTTCCTAAAATCTAAAACTTGAAATTTAAACAGAATAAGGTGAGCACTGCTGCTGTGCACCTCTTAGGTTGCAAGTTCATTTCTTGCATCAGCTCCCAATGTTTGTGTGAAAGTTATTCCACAGTTCAAAGACGTCAGGTCTGTGTGTCTCTAAAAAGCCTGCAGTCCATCCAGGGTACATCTGCTTCTGGGAACAGACACCACCCAGTCCCCAACACTTTTATGCTATTCCAAGCTACTGCCAGCATTTAAAACCACATGTCATTATCAGTATTGAAAAGAAAAATGAAAATGTCCACCAAAAAAGATGGCTTTGTCTGAAAGAGGGCACTGGTGTCCGACTAGTGCGAATGGAGTCCAGTACAATGCGAGGGTACTGTTAGAGTGTATCCCAAGAGGGTAATTGCTAAGGATTTGTTTTGAATTTAATTCAGCATTAATTCATCATGTCAAGCAAGCCCCGTAGTTTGAACCCAGCCACACGAACAGAGAGAAAAGCAGCAGGCCATGCAGGCTCGAAATCCCCTGAGTTCACAGAAATATTCTATCGCAACATAAAAAAACACAGCAGCCCCTTCCCAGCTTAACACTGACTAAGACGTACAGTGCTTCAAAGGCAACTCCCTTGTAGTTAGAGACAAACTGAAACACACTGATTTGCAGCCACTGTGGCTCAAGAATCACTGCTTAACTATTGAGTTAAAGATGTTGCTAAGCAGTATACAATATATTTGAGTAAAACGTCACAAAACATCTTCTGGGCTCTGCTCAAGTGAAGCACTTTAAGAAAAATAGCATATTATGCCAAGCTAATCCAACTTCAATGACATAAAACCTTCAATTCCCCTTAAATAACAGAAATATGAATGAATGAATATAATACCCCAAAGCTAGTTGTTTTAAAGATATGAACATGCATGCTATACAAGTATTTCCTGCCTAACTATTAAGCACTACTTTAAAGATTCAATGATAGATAATTAATTACAAGACTTGCAAGTAGAATTGGTTTTGGGTGGGGGGAGTAATGACAGTCAGGAGTGGGAGCTCGTCACATAAAACACAGACATACACACACAAACACCTCCAGACTGATACAAAAATGTATCCCTTGAAGACGCCTTGACCATATAATTACACACTGTGTATTCCCTTCTGGCAGTCTAAAGCTTGTTTTTCGAAAAATAAAAAACGTTTTCGGTATGAACTGCCACACTATAAACAAGGGAGTCTATGTGACCTTCCCAAAGCTTTGCGCTCTACCCTACCTATCTAGCCTTAGGGGCATGGATCTGCTGCTAATTACCTCCCTTCCCTCCCACCCAGTCCATACTTGGCCCCAGCCCAGCCTGGGCCCGCTGTGCCTGAAACCCGAGTCGCTGTGTCACCGTCGCGGGACCCCTGCAAAGGCGCCTCCACTGCGCATCTGCCCTAAATACAACCCGTGTCAGGTTTAGGGGGTGCAGGAAGTGTCAGAGGAAGTATCTGAGTAAAGCCTGTCAACTGAGGTCAGAGCTAAGCCAGTGAACAAATCGAGGACACTAGGAGATCACTCCAGAATGGTCCAGAGAGGCTCATAATGGAGCAGTGATCTTTTCACTAGGGACACCTGTAGATGGTGTTTTTGTGTACATGCACAGATAACAGTCATACTACAATACACTTGCCAATCAAATGGCTGCCAACTGCTCTCATCAGGATTGAAAAGGCCCCTGGACAACAACAACAACTTCAGATGTTAACGCAAAAATAATAAAGCAATTGTCACATCCTAAGACCACCGGTAGCTTTATCCAAGGTGTGATTTAGTACGGAAGGTCAAACTTCTGGGGGTTTCACAACACTGATGAGGCTGATACGATGAAGTAACCTTCTAACTTATATTGACCCAGATATTAGTTTGGCAAACACCACAACAACTGAAGTCTATGAAAAGTCTACTGTTGGATGTGCTGGGGAAATGAGTGTTGAATAATGGTAACTAAGTCAAGGTGATACATCCTGTGGATTGTTTTTGCCACTTACATTCTCTGCCCTGAATTAGACGAATCAGATTCACATGTATTTCGCTGCTTGTGTACTGGCCTGCATGATCCACCCTCAACTGGGAGGAGATGGGAGACAAGGCATGCAACAGTCTCATTGTATGTGCTGCGGCCCCTAGGGCACACGCACTATGCCAGGTTGTATTTTGTGAGGCTCAGCAGCACGGCATTGCAAGAAATTGAGGAGGTCCACAGGGAATCTTTTCTTTACTCAAAATTGCTCTACAGGAAACTTGTGCGCACAATAATCCATTGTGTTCAAAGCTTGGTCTGCTCAATACTGCCCGCAATTCACAAATAAAGGAACTAGTCCACGTCTTTCTAATGCAATGATGAGCTTTTTATTATGATTTTTTATATTTCAGCGCCTGAGGAGGAATATGCCCAAGGCTACTGATCTAGAAGCAGTTTTCCTAAAAATGGCAGCATGTGCAAAATTCGAAAGATAACTGTTACTGCATAATATTGTGAATATGTCTCTGAATGAGCCTGCAGCCACTCAATTAAGGCCATAAACTAGATATTTAATGAATGTCAAGGTTTTCCTGAAAATGTGGTATTTATACCGGTTTTATGTTTCCAGTGCTGACAGATCATCCTCCCACTGCTGAAACCACACTGTGTCACCCTCTGTTAATTCTTCCTTTGTTGTGAAGGTGCCTGCTTTGTAGGTGTTTAACAATTCCTCAAATCCATGGTTCAGTTTATACCTTGTTTTCTTTTGGGGGGAGGGGGGAGTGTGAATTAAAAAAATGAGAAAAAAAATCTGGGTTTAATTATCAACGACGAAGACACCCTAAAAAGTTTTGTTCTCCACAATAAAATATGGATTGTAATGAGAGCTCAACAGGAAATACCCGCAGCAGTGGCAGTGGGTTCAGGTTTGGGGGTGGGGGGGGGGGGGGGGGGGGTCATAGTTGTGTCTCCTGGAACCACGTCATGAAATGTGGAATGTTTGTATTGCAGTTTTGGTCTCGATTTTAGAACCCTTACACCAGTATTACTTTGATCCCAGCCTCATTCCATAATCTTGCTTCAGGGAAAAAAATCCATGGAAGATCAAAAAACACACTTTTGCTGCATACTGTTTTCAAAATAAGTGACCCAGCAAGGATTCCCCTCGCCACAAAAGGTTAAGCACACTTCCGGAGTTTTTCTTATTTTCTTTTCCAAAAGTGACCTCCGTCTACATTTCATACGACATCAGCAAAGCTCCCAGGGAGCACTGGACTACAACAGCAGGACTCGCCACAGCGCCCTTGTTGATTCAACAGCATGAATGGCTTAAATATGTTTCTGTTTGGATTATTCCAGAAACCAACCAGAACCAGGAAAAGACATTTTACTCAAGCCTTTAAAAGGCTCCACAAAATTTATGTGTAACTCCCAATAAGGGACATGTGAAAAACATATCAACAGCAACAGTGGGCGAATGTTGAATTATTTGTTTTCTGATCTTGAAAATCATTTGGCTGAAATGTCGGCCAGACCAGGCATCTGCATTCTGCTACCCAAATGCTTAGAGTAACAAATACACAGAGCAGTTTATTTCTCTCCCTCCAGGCATCAGCGTGACGTCCATGTTAAAAGCCTCACTCGCAACTGGGTACTGGTATGTTTCCTTCTGCTATTCATCACTGCAGAACACCCAAAACCTCTGATCTCCCCTAAGGTCATCTGTGGAGGTTTTGCAGCAAGTAAATAGAACCAAAGGTCTCACAGAGAGAAGATGTATTTGATTTCCTTAACAGGGAGATCCCTAGAACATGCAAAACGTTTGATCTCCCCTAAGGTCAACTGTGGAGGTTTTGGAGCTGAAGATAGAACTGGCAGTCTGAAAGCGTGAAGATGGATGTGAGCTCTGGTACCAGGGAAGTCCCCAAGCATTCTCTGTGCTCCACTCAGCAAAGATGGGAAGGCTGCACCGGCTCATTGCCAGGTAAGTGCTCACCAGGGAAGTTTCTCCTTCTGGCTGCCCTACATATTGGGCCTCAGAAATGCATTGGTTCTAGACGTGTTGGTGGGGGAGGTGGGGGAGGGTTAGGGCGTCGAGGGATGAAGAGGAAATTCTGCCTGGTGGGGGTTGGCACTGTGCATTTTTGCCAGTTCTAAAAGACAAACTGAGTATGACATAAAGCGGGGTTTCTGTACAGCATAACACCTATTTGAGCCAATGTGAATAACGGAGTAAGCACATGGGTGTCACATGTATGGTAGTAACTGGGGATATTATTTTGTCCCCAGTCCTAACTGAAGCTGCTGTGTGTTTTCTGGACAGGGCCTGGTTTGATTAGTGTCTTAGGGAACATCTCACTATGGACGTAAGAACCACAGGGGACGTTTATTTTAACTTTATTCACCGCCCCGCTTAATAAATAGACCTTTGCATTTTTGCATGTTCCTCCCAGTATCAAACTCCTTCACTCTTGCATCTCATAGCTATAAGTGGCTTTGTCAGGCTTGGAAAACAGAGCCTTTCTACTTTTCTATCCACCTTTATCATGATTTGCCAATTGATACAATTCAGGCCACAAAAGTGTAAAAAGGCAGCTGTTGTCATGCATTAAACCAGGGAAGCACGAGCAGAGACGGAAAATCGGGAAATACGGGGTTTAATTACAGGTAAGGCAGGCAAAACGCAGACAGACAATACATAGGACTAATGACAGCAACAAGAAACAGCTGATCACACAGGGATTCCACACGGGGTTAACGAGGGGGCGTGGCACACGGAAGGAGCGGACTATCGGTGCAGGACAGCTGTAGACTGGGAGGCCGTCACCGCAAGGGGGTTGGTTGGGACTAAATCATCCCTATATCCTTCATCCCTCTGAACACATGCAGTACTCGTACAATATTGGTAAGGACATATCCCTACCATCCATTCCCAAATCTATGCCCCCGCATAGTGGCAAGGCTGGTCCCCACAGTCTCCACACCAATTCCTAGGGTCCATACGTCCTGCTACTACTGTTATTGATGTCTCGTAAATCTCAAGTTTAAACATGAAGTGTTATTTGCAGTAATTTATTAAGTCTATGTGTTATTAAACAACTGCTCTTCTTGCCTGTGCTTAGGAGTGTCCTGACACATCTGGCTACCTTACATTTGTACGCCCGATGCAACTTGAATTTAATTCCTTTATTTTTCTCTCTATTTGAAAACCTAGCAAATAAGTTTAATACTATCTTTATTGATTTCTAATATATGACATTTTCCAGGCACCTTAAGTATACAGCAGCACTTTCTAATTATAAGTCCAGTGTCAATAAAGCAACAAGAACACATCTGAAGGGTTAATCAACATTCCCAATAAGAATATCATCATCAGTGGGAAATGTACTGCATTCGATTACATCGTTAATACATGTGAACACAACATAAATTTCATAAATGGATGAATCTTTCAAATGGATCAAAATTATTATGATATGGATAATTGCTTAAGAATGTGTCATTTTGCTGTAAATATTTATAGCAGTGTTTTATTCTAGACAAATATGGCAACCATCTGCACCCAAAATGAAATGCTTCCGATGGCACAGAGGTCTATTACTCATGTCCACCACAAGAGGGCAACAGAAACACCGATAAGTGTATGGCTGAGTCATGCTCCTCTTTCTATAAGAATGCTTTAAAATCAAAGAGTTCCTTCAGACCAGAGAAAATGTTGATTACAGATCCAACCAGTAGCTTCTTACAGACTGTCTCAGCGGGTAAAAATTGCTGTGTCAAGGTATTCAAGGTGTGAATAACTAATGGATGTATTTTATATACTTTTAGCTGTTAACAATTACAGTATGGAAACATACCCGGGAAAATTACTGACCAAAGCCGCAGAGACATGCTTGAGGCCCAGATTTAGTTCTGTTCTTGTTGATTTGCTTATGGCATGTTTACAGAGTGGGTCAGGAATGTAATCTTTAGAAATATACACCATGCCGAGAATGTTGGTCTGTTTGGATGGGTGGAAGTGCAGCACACTCTCTGAGAGACCAATGAAGGACAGAGCCTTCTCGCAAAATGAAAAGATGAAAGTACCTTTGATGACACAGGGATAGGATCCGTAGCTGGAGAGGTCAAAGTTAATGAATGAAAAAGATCCTTAAATATTAAAACAATAAAATTTTTGGAACCTACATGAAAAGCCACAATCCTTAGCTACAGCAGATCAAAGATTGTAGCATGCTAGACAAAGGCATCTTCTTGGCCCACTGTGACTGCCCAGCATGCCAGAAAATTGGTGTAAATCTAATTTACTTGAGTCCCTGCTATGCTAAGTTTAAATACAGTATGAGTGTTAATTTTTATAAGACCATTTTAATTACTCTATCAAACCCTCTCTTGAAATGCCTCAACCCAACAGAAAGAGACGCACCATGACGAGTGGCATTTCAAAAAAATATTTTCTCTACAGTTTGTAAGACATGCCCTGACAGAGAGTCCATAGCTAATAATGTGTAGTATGAAAAGTATACTTCTCTAGTCTTATAATTAAAAATATAATAAACATGGGAAGGCATGTTGCCTCACAGCTGTAGGGTCGGGGGACTGAATCATGTCTCTTTCCTGTGTGTGTGGAGTTTGCGGAGTCTCCCTGTGTTAAATGGGTCTTGTCTTGGTATTCCAGTTTCCTCCCACAGTCAAAGACAGGTGAACACGCATCTCTAAATTGCCTGTAATGCATGATTCTGAGTGTGTACGTGTGTGTTCTGCAAAGCTGAATGACATCACAGTCAGGCAAATGGCTGGTCTCTAGAACCAGCAACAGCGCAGCCAGCTGGGCTCAGTACCACTGGGTTCAGTTCTGCCACCTAATCCTGGGTTGTGCTGCTGGACACTTTCCAGCACTTGGCATGTTGGCACTTATACGTTTGGCTCATTTGGCTTAGTATTCCTTCTTTGTGGCTTAACTCTACATTAAATCAACTGAAATCTTCAAGCAGTTGCCCTGGGGGTTGTCTGCTGACAGCTGATTGTCAAACCTGATCAGCAGTAAGGAAAATATTCAGGAATGCTGTTATATAGTCATCAATTTAGTCGACACTTAATTAATAAATTCAGCGTTAAAAATGAGTAGAGTGGCTGATGGCTCAGTATGATTGCCTTACACCTCCAGGATTAAGGGTTGGAATCCTATTGTATGTGTGTGTGCGCACGTCTCAATATTCCCATTGTGCTGGCCAGGTTTCCTCCTGTAGTCCAAAAACATGCATTTAGGGGCATTTCTGAATTGCCCCTAATCTGTGTTTAAGTCCTGAGATGAACCGGCATCCTATCCAGGCGGTACAGCAGCCCTATGCTCCTTGGGATGGGGCCTGTGACCCATATAAACAGTTGGAAAATCGATTATTCTTATGTTACACTACAACCCTGTCCCAAGTAAGCCTTTATGTAACATGGATGAATGGACAGATTTTTGTAATATATGGCAACGTGTAGCATGGTACTTAAGAACGCAAATAATGTGAGCCAAATAAGTTCAGAAAATCAGGTGAGGTTCTAATTCTCATTAACCAGCCAGAAGTGGAAAATAGGGGCTAAATGTAAAGACAGGTTTATGTGGTAAGCCGGGTACACAACAGGCCGATGGCAAAAATTACTGTAGCACCAACCGAGGCTGACGAACGATTGAGTCACGATTGTGAAAATCTGTGCTGGAACACGATTAGAAGTGATGGTTGATGTACAGCCCAATAAGAGAAGTCAGTTTCACCGAATACCTTTAATGCTGATTCATGCTCAATCTGCCAAAACAACACCAATGGGGACCAACTGTGCATAACCATGCCTCTCATATAGATTCTTCTTGTACTTTTAGTGTGGAATTCTCAACAAAATATGTCCAATGAATAAATAAATACCATTTTATGAAAATGAAACATCTGTATATATTGCACTCCTGTACAAAGAAAAATTCCACACGTTTTCAGCCTTGCTTGGTCTCTATCTACCTACCATCCATCGCTTGAGAAACTTCCAGTGATCAGCTGAAGCAAGCGATTAGCTGTCACGTCTCTGCAACCGCGCACTGCGCTCACTCAGTTCCAAATGACAAGTGACTAAACAGATGCATGTGCACATATTTGTGTGTTTCTCTGTGCAGAGCAATCATTGTTTGTTGTGTGTGTGTGTGCATGCGTGCGTGCATGAGAAAACTCACTGGTAATATTATGAAGCGTTGACAAAGAATTTTAAACCTGTCAAATTATTTTGTTTCTAACGGGCACAACAGCTAAGCGGTCCGCCGGGAATTCTCCCGCGTCTCCTGATTAGCCTCTCCGGGCCTGCACCCATCACATTATATAGGCAACTTAGAAACATGAATTCACCTAACTACATGTGTTTGAGATGAGGGGAGTTAAATGGACAGTGAAAATTCAACGTATCCATCCGTCTGCCAGCCACTTATCCTGGAAATGAGGATTAGAGTTTGACGGAAAAGAAAATACAGCCAATGCGCTGTTCATTTGTAAGGTCATACAAAATCGAAATTTCTCTGGCGTGTACATGCGAGAGGCCGGGAGACTGGAGTGTCAAATCTCATCAGATAGCGAGGCAATCGCAGAACACATCTGAAAAGCTGCCTCCCCCTCAGCAGCAGCAGCCGCGGGACATCTGTCCTGACGGCGACTTTAGTGGGGGGGGGGGGGGGGTTTGTGTACTTTCACGATGCACAGAGCTGTGTCATC